GGGAAAGAGGGATTTTTAATTCAGTCCCAGGTGTTTGGGAGACAGGGGGCTTTACCGCATTCTCATTTTTCTCACTTGGAAGTTCCTGTTTTTTTCAGGGTTTTTTTACTTCTGTTCGATGTGTGTTTTGCTCCCTCTAGTGGTCGATTCAATATTACATTGATTTACGTCTGGCGTATGTCCCTGCAGATGTAAACTGCAGGTTTTTATGCCGGACATAAACTGATTTAATATTGAATCGACCACTAGAGGGAGCAAAACATCCATGTAACAGAAGCAACCCCCCCCCCAATAAACAGGAATGTGGAAAAGCCCCGTCACATTGGCAGAAGATACTGAAACATTCAGAATGACTGTCCAAGAAGTCTAGAGGGATCTCTCCAAACTGCATCAGTGAAGAAATGCATGATAATGCAAGACTCACTAAGAATAAGAGAGCCAGTTTGGTGTAGTGGTTAAGAGTGGCAGACTGTAATCTGCAGAACCGGGTTTGATTCCCCACTCCTCCGCATGAAGCCAGCAGGGCAATGTTGGGCCAGTCACCGTTCTCTCAGCCCCCCAAATAAACCTAGCTCACCACAAAAAGAGCTAGAGTTCCAGGCTGCCAGACAATCTTTGGATCTCCTGGCTATTCTACACTCATTGCCATATGATAATTATTATTTGGTGCATATAATTTTGGATACATGTATGTACTGGTAAATTCTGAACTGGCTATAATTGTCAGAAAAGGATTTGAGAGTGGAAAGTGCCTTATGAAGAGACAGACCCTTGGTCTATCAAGGTCAGTACTGTATACTGTGACTTGCAATTGGTCTTCAAGGACTCAAGTGGAGCCCCTTCCCACCACCTACCACTGGAGCTTTTTAACTGGAGATGCCGGAGATTGAACCCGTGACCTTCTGCATTCAAGGCAGAGGCTCTACCATTGAGCTACAGCCCCTGCTGAAATCATTAAACCCAAAACGTGTTTGGAAAATAGACAACCATAGCTGCAATCTATAGCCACCTGGGCACTCAAATATGTAGGACGGATGTGTTCCCACAGCTGTGTATCCCTTTGCCCAAACAGAAGTGAGTCTGCTATGGCAGCTTGCTGGGTGACCTTGGGTCAGTCACACACCCTCAGCCTAACCTACCTCGCTGGATGGTTATTGTGAGGATCAAATGGAAGAGTCAAGAATGACAATACAATGGTGCTTTGTGTTCCCACTGGGGGAAGAAAGTGGTGTCGTAAAACTTAACCGACTCTTTTTGTGAACTAGACAGTAGCTGAGTTGGTCTGCAGTAGAAGACCTAGAGTCAAGTCTAGTTAGCACTTTAGACACCAACAAGATTTTGGGGTATAAGCTTTCTGGTTTCCTGCTTGTATCTGATGAAGGGAGTTTTGATTCTTGAAACCTTATACCCCAAAAAACATGTTCACGCGACTGGACGCGAATCTAACTTTTCAATGTAACATTTTCTTAAGAGTCTGGGAGAGAAATCTAGCGGCTGAGATGTTATGCTCAAAGTCAGATGAGCAGTATAAAAGAACTAGGAGCAAGGCCCATTGTGGAAAGAAATACAATGAGTTCTAGAAGGAAGCTCCAGGTGAGTGTCCTAGCTGTGGCTGATGGGGCGGCAGAGGGAACGGGAAAATAGGAGGCAAGCCATGTTTATTTCCTTCTGTTTAGCTATAAGGCAGGGCTGTCTCACATCATTTTGCTAGCCCAAGTGGGTAGTATGGGAAGATAGCCTCATGGTAACAGGTATGGTTCCCTCCACCCCGGATTTATGTTGATTTGGGGTTATGCAGTGGCAGCTAAGGTAGAAAAGCCCCACCTCTTCCTATGCCATGTCTTCTGGGTTCCAAGGGTCTGGAAAGCGGTTCCATAGCAAGTTACAGGGTTGCCAACTCTGGGTTGGGAAATACCTGTAGATTTGTAGAGTCTGGGGAGGGCAGGGTTTGGGGTGCGGAGGGACCTCAGAAAGGTATAATTCCATAGAGTTCATTGCCCAAAGCAGCCATTTTCTCCAAGAGAACTGATCTTGGAGATCTCCAGGTGCTGCCTGGAGGCTGGCAATACTAAGGGGAGGGCCAGACCTGTAGATTTGAGGGGTAGAGCCTGGGGAGGGCAGGGTTTGGGGTGCAGAGGACCTCAGCAGGGTATAATGCCATAGAGTCCATTGCCCAAAGCAGCCATTCTTTCCAGGAGAACTGATCTTGGAGATCTCCAGGTGCTGCCTGGAGGCTGGCAATACTAAGGGGAAGGCCAGACCTGTAGATTTGAGGGGCAGAGCATGGGGAGGGCAGGGTTTGGGGTGCGGAGGGACTTCAGCAGGGTATAATGCCATACAGTCCACTGCCCAAAGCAGCCATTGTAATAGCTGGGAAATTTTCTGTAGTGGAAATGATGTGCTGTGGCTGGGGAACACGGTGATTTCTGGGAGATCTCCGGGCCCCACAGGGAGATTGGCAACTCCAGTGACCGTTTAACGGAAGATTGGGATATGTATTTTGGCAACTCCAGTGACCGTTTAAGGGACACATTCAATGACTCCCAACAGCAACAGCAAACTGTTTAGAATGTTAGAGGCAAAGGCCAATCAGGCTGCATATGCAAATGACCTCTGTGTTCTGACTGGCTATTGGGGGGAGAGGAACAGCAAACTGTTTAGAATATTGGAGGTGAGACTCAGGCAGTGCAACCAGTGGATAGGGACAGCTTCTGAGTGACAGATCAGGGAGCCAACTGATTTGGGAGTGTGTGGAATGTTCAGGAGAGTGCCACTACCAAAACAGAATTATTATATAGAGAGATTTTCATCCATTTGTTGCCAGAAGCTATTGCAAACAGGGAGAAGGAGTTGGCTGTGAGCCCCAGTATTTATTTTGGCCATCCTTTTTTTCCTCCCCCTAAAAGGGGTGAGGATTTCTTTTCCTATGTTGGTACATGCAGAAAGTTGTGGGGCAGAGGAGTGTGCAGGCACTTCTGTCTACATGCAGGAATTTTGTGGCAACGGCAATGAGTTGGCTTAAAATATGAAAACAGCAACAACATTGTGCTGTGTTTAGTGTGCTGTTCAGCTGGGGCTAGTTTGCACCAAACGGAATAGAATATTATATAAGGACATCAGAAGAGCCCTGCCGGATCAGACCAATGGCCCATCTAGTCCAGCATCTCGTCTCACACACTGGCCAACCAGTTCCTCTGGAGAACCAACAACAGGGCATAGGGGCCGAGGCCTTCCCCTGATGTTGCCTCCTGGCTCTAGGATTCAGAGGCTTAGGGCCTCTGAATGTGGAGGTTCCCCTCGGTCACCATAGCTAGTAGCCATTGATAGATTTATCCTCCATGGGTCTATCTAACCCCCTTTTAAAGCTGTTTATTCCTGGGGCCCTTGTAAAGTTAGGTGCTCCTTCCCACTGCATCACCATTATGTTATCTTCTGAGCAGTGTAATAATAGTCTGTTGCAGGCCCGTAGCCAGGATTCTTTTAGTTGGGGGGGGGGCATTTAAATTTCTTAGGGGGCACTGGCTAATCAAATTCAAGAAATACCCAGCTCCTTCCCTGCTTGGGGGTCCTGGACTGGAGGAGAAGTCATGGAGCCTTGCCGGTAAGTGGGAGGGGGGCTAGCCCTAAGTTGCCCCACTGTAGCTACGGGCCTGGTCTGTTGAATGACCGAGAACTGAGCAAATCGTTGGACTCTTGTTTTTTAACTATCACAATGGCCATGGAACACCGTAGGCAATCTAGGTTATGTATGACCCCCTCTGGATTCTTGAGCACTGGAACCTACCTTAGATTAGAATCCTAATTTCTCCATGAACATGCATTCGGAAAATGGAAAACTCTCCACCTTTTGCTGTTTCACGTGACCACCCTACTCGTGGGACACTACTTATCCTTCTGTTAGAAACCAGAGTGAAAATGGGTGTCTGGAACCTTGAATGTAGGACCGCCAACTCCCTTTTGGGAAATTTGGGAAGATTTCGGGGGTGGAGCCTGGGTAGGGCAGAGACCTCAGTGGGGTACAGTGCCACAAAGTCCACTCTCCAAGCAGCCATTTCCCTCCAGGGGAACTGTTCTCTGTAGTCTGGAAATCAGCGGCGATTCTGGGAGATCTCCAGGCCCCACCTGGAGGTTGGCAGCCCTACTTACACTGACAGGGAAGCACGTATCTGGACTTTGGTCTGTCGCAGTACAATACAAAGCCGACCTATCGCCAGCACAGCCCTCCTTTGACGTAGCCCAAAGTTGATTTTCTATCGGCCGGAAAGCCAGCTATTCGATAGGCATTTAAGAAGCTCGAGATTGGGAATTCAGAGCTGGACTCGCCGGGGCTGCCAGCACGACAAGGTGCCTGAGCAACACGGCTGTTCTCATCCGCCGTGTGTGTTCGGCAGATCAAAAGACAGCCGCTACATATTTTATGACCCACGGAGCAAGCCACCGTGTAACCTGAATTACCGACTTGTGCGATTTCTGTGATATCGTGGGATACATATGCCTGTGAGAAATGGATGAGCTTTGCTTCATTTCCTATTCTCCAGATGAAGTCTGCCGAATAAAGCCAGCCAAGCTCTACTGATAACAGCCAGTGTCTCCGAGTCTGCCGAATAAAGCCAGCCAAGCTCTGCTGATAACAGCCAGTGTCTCTGTCTCTGTCTGCCTGTTTGATCTTTCATAAGGAGGGAACCTAGCGCTTGATAGAAGCAGTCCTGTACCCTAGACCAAGGGTCTCCAACTGGCCCGCAGTTATGGTGAGGCATTTCGGGGCCCTGCCCCCTAGCCTACAGGCCACGCCTCACCAGTCCTGAGCGTAAACCCCCTAATTTAATTTTTTCTTAACTTTTAATACAGGCATGTGGGCCCGCACCACGTGAGAGCCAGTTTGGTGTAGTGGTTAGGAGCGCAGTCTGGGAGAACCAGGTTTGGTTCCCCACTCCTCCTCCACATGCCACTCCTGGTGTGACCTTGGGTCAGTCACAAGTTCTTTCAGAGCTGTTCTCTTGCGAGCAGTTCCTGTCAGAGCTCTCTCAGCCCCACCTACCTCACAGGGTGTCTGTTGTGGGGAGGGGGAGGGAAAGGAGATTGTGAGCCACTCTGAGACTCCTCTAGGTCATGAAGGGCAGGGTATGAAATCCAATCTTCTCTTCTTCTTCTTTGATCTGTCTCAGCCCCTTGTGATCTGTCTCCTCATGCGCACCATTGAGGGCAGGGGATGAGGAGGGCAGGGTGGGAAATTGAGTGAAGCCTCCACCACTCATGCCCCAGTGCTTGGGGAGGGCTCACTGGAGGGTGGGCGTGTGGCTGGGAGGGGAAAGGAGGGTGGTGCGCTGGGCTATTTTTGGGCAGGAACGCACAGGAACGGAGTTCCGGCTGGCTCCCAAGTTGGCCACACCCAGCAGGAACTCATTAGTATAGTACGGCACACCCAACACCATTGGCTCCATTAGGGGTGTGTGGCCTAACATGCAAAGGAGTCCCTGCTACAAAAAAAGGCCCTGGGTTTTGACAACAAACAAGGTCAACAGAAAAAGAAGCAAAAGGTGGGTGTGGCTGGATGACCACACTTCTGGTAACATGGGTGTGTGCTGTCATTGGGTGTGGCCTAATATGCTAATGAGTTCCTGCTGTTGGGTGTGGCCTATTATGCTAATAAGTTCCTGCTGGGCTTTTTCTACCAAAAAAAGCCCTGGTGGTGCGTGTGTCTCACTGAAGAGAGCCTATGAATTGGACTTCTGAATGGTTAAGACCGGGCTGGGGGGAGTCGGCATTGTCGACAGGGAAGATGAGAGAGGGGAGATGTGAGTGGCGTGCTCCTCTCCCCGCTTCCCCCATGGGGACTGTCTGCAGCCAGAGATGAGACCAAGTGAGGTCACCGCAGTCCCTTCCTAAATGGGCATCTCAGGAGTTCCCCCTCCTCCCTGTGCCTCCGGAAAGGTTATCTGGTTA